GGCCCGAGGATCTAAGATCCCTGGAGGCCGAGTGGAGCCCTGAGGACCGGAGCACCCACAAGCTTGTAAACAGCGTGTGCGTGCTCCCAAAACCCGATATGGTCCTCTGCTCCCGCCATATCTGCCCCTCCCACTGACCGTACTGATCACACCACCCTCCCTTAACCCCCCAACCTCCTCCCTCACCGTTCTAATGCCGCGTCCCTCAGACAGGCCTGGCCTTGGCCTCAGAGAGGCATCCCCCATGCCCCCCCTGGCCAAATCAAGAGATTCAGTCAGTTCAAATGAGTATAAAGATTTATTGAAAACTTAAGCTCTCCACAAGAATCTGACCAACTAACAGGGAAGAGAAATGAGCGGGAGATAAGAAAGACATTTAAGGCAGGCTGGACTTAGCTCTCTTGCAGGTGTGACTTATGATGCATTTGACCCCCCCCCCCCCCTTGGGCTCAGCCTGGTCATTTCCTACACTAGATCGATATTATATAATTCTGGTGAATGTTGATGAGATTACATTGCATAGAAAAACAGAAATTTCAGATCTTTAATGATCAATATGACATCTTTTCAAAGTATGTTATTGAACCTACCTGGTTAAAGCTTTTGTGCCATTTGATTCTATTTTCATTAATAGTGAATTGATATCTATCTGGAACACTGGGATCTAATCTTCCAACTTTCACTTTCTTGAATGATTTGTTTGGAAAAGTGATCATGTTGATGATATCAAATCCTCCCATTACTTGCCTTCTGTCGTTAAAACAAAATGCCTCTTCAGCTGAGTTGTTAAAAGATATGTCTTGAAGAAATGGATGGAGCTATTTTAAAAATAATAAGAAACAGGGAATTGAAAGAACAGTGATGTGAAAACCAATAAACTAACGTTTAATCTACTTTTGTCTAAGAAAGACCATTCAGCTAGATATACAAAAAAAGACAATATGCAGTGCACTTCATTTTTGGGGGAGGGGGAGGGAGGATATGCCTTCAAGTCAGTATTGACAAGATTTTTCGACACAGTTTGCTGTCCTTTTCTTCCTAAGTCTGAGAGAAAATAACTGGCTGACCCAGCTGATTTTGTGCCTCAATCAGGACTAGAACTTCTGTGTTTTAGCTTGGTGTCCTAAACATTATACCATATTGGCTCTTTCTTTAAACAGTTAAATATTTATAAATACCATGCACAGAACAAGTTGTCAACCTACAATGTATTACCATTAAAGATCTGCAAAACAACACTGTGTGAGTGATACTAAGGGAAGACAAATATGTATGTAATCCACTTGGTAGGGTTTGCAGACTATAAAAGAACTGTGTATTGTTGATCATTGCTAGGTGATCAAAACATAATTGATTGACTTAAATCTTAGCATTTTTAACAACCCAATCATTTTATACTACATTTTCCATTGAAGAGAGGGGAAAAAAGTGTTGCATTAGAGATATTACCTGCCAAGACTCGAGATTCTGAAATTGAATGGTTTTATCCAATATCATTTCTTGCCAACTGGATTTCCTTGATAGTGCAGTATGTAAAGAATGAGCCACAGCATAGATACCATTATAGATACTGTAGCTATGACCAGTCATTTGCATTTCAAAGAGAGATTCAGGAAGATGGTCCAGGTTCTCCTCCCCAGTGCATTTTTCATTATCCATTGTTAGCAATCCTGAATTAGGAAAGACACAGTCAAATGCTTGCTCCCAAAAATCTTTTATGAATCCATCTCTGTGCCTCCCATAAGGTTTTAGGGTCTGAAGAAATGTCCTGAATCCCAGAGGTTCCTTCGATTGAATTTGAAAGGAAATGGCCCCATCAAACAAATGGAGATCAAAACCCTTCTGAATTCCTGTCAATATAAAATCCGTTTGGCTTGTCATAATCCATACCTTTCTAAAGGATGCATTTTCTTTGTTTTGAGGATCTCTAAAAAAGATGAGAAATGTGAACCACACAAGAGTCAAAGTATCTCCATACATAATAAATGTACTTGTTTTACGATTTGTGAAATGTATATAAATGCTGGACATTGTACCAAAAAAATTATCCAAGTTATCCAGATGAGGTATTCCAGGGATTTTTTGTAGGAAGGCTGAACAGATTCCATTCTGGGAAAACATCAGTTGCAATTTCTGCAAAAAATGTTCACCACTCTCATTCTGAAAAGCAAAGAGTCCAATCCACTTCCAGCCAAAATATTTAAGTAACTGGATAATCCCAATATATAGGGGTTCCTCATTTGGGGCCATAAAGTAAAGTGAAGGTACCTTATTTCTCCAAAACCTTTCTGAGGAATATGAACCATATGTAAGCTAAAAGAAAATATCAAGAGTTTGTACAGAGAAGTTAGAACTATTATCTTTTTTCTCTATATGTGTATTGGAACAATGGAAGGAACTGGCCAGCAGAATGTAAAGTTACTGTAAATAAATTGCTCCTATAATATCAATGTATTGGTTTATGATCATATAATATAATTTCTGGAGTTCAGACCAGGTGCCTGATGAGGCAAGAGAATGAGGGAGACCAAAATTCATGTCTATTTTTAAACTACAGAAACTAATAGAATAGAGTAGAATAGAGCTGGAAGGGACCTTGGAGATCTTCTAGTCCAGCCCCCTGCGCAAGCAGGAGAACCTATACCCTCTCAGACAAGTGACTGTCTAGTCTCTTCTTAAAAACATCCAGTGATGGAGTGCCCATGATTTCTGAAGACAAGCTGTTCCACTGGTTAATTGTCCTCACTGTTAGGAAGTTTCCCCTTAATTCCAGGTTGCTTCACTCTTTGATTAGTTTCAAACCATTGTTTCTTGTCCTGCCCTCTGGTGTTTTAGAGAATAATTTGACCCCCTCTTCTTTGTGGCAGCCACTCAAATACTGGAATACTGCTATCGTGTCACCCCTATTTCTTATTTTGTTTAGACAAGCCAAACCCAAGTCCTGCAGCCTTTCTTCATATGTTTTAGTCTCCAGGCCTTTGATCATCTTAGTTGCTCTTCTCTGAACTTTTTCCAAAGTCTCAACATCTTTTTTTGTAGTATGGTGACCAAACCTGGTTGCAGTATTTCAGGTGTGCTCTCACTAGGGTTTTATAAAGTGGTACTAATACTTCTCATGATCTTGATTCTATGCTTCTGTTTATACAATTCATGATTGAATTAATGAATTTCAGTTGCTCAGCTCTTAGCTGAAACTTCCCTATAAGGTTGTTAGGGAGCAAAATTAGGATTAGGGATCCTATGTACATTGCTTGAGTTTCGATTATTTACAGAGGAAGAAGAAAATTCTCCCTGTTTTTCAACCAACCTGTGGTATTTTGTAGAAATCTATAATGTCCAATATATGGGATGAAGTATCAGACTCAAGTCCTCCAAGGATAGCCATGACATTTTTCGAAGTACCACACTTATAGTTTGGAATAAATCTGTTTGATTTGAAAAGCAAGTCCAAGGTGGTCCGATAGGTCATTCTGGCACTGTAGTAGCTGTCACAGATGTGGAAGCCAAGAGTAACATTAGGCAATATTTGTGGATTTTCATTGATCTCCTTCACAGCAAAAGCCAAAGAAAGGACATGCTGGTAGAATTTTGTGATCATGCTGCAAAGAAAGAAAATGTTTGGAAAAGCAATCCTTTAGTAAGATAATTGGTTGAAGTCTCATTTCTTCCTGTAATTTTAATTTATTCAGAATACCATTTTTTGATATTTCAAAATTAAGCATCACTCAACAATAGTCCAAATAGTTTAATGAAAATAAGCTTTTGGTTATACATTTCATTAGCTTCAGCAAATTAAATATGTACACATTTTATAAAGAATTAGGTTTTAAGCAGTGGTGGGATTCAAATATGTGAACAACTGTTTCTCTGTGTGGATGCCACTTCCAGAAGTCCATTCTGGGCCTGGGCAACAAAAAATTAGCTACCGGTTCTGCCAAACTGGTGTGAACTGGCTGAATCTCACCACTGGTTTAAGGCCAAGATCAATGGAAAAGATATAACTCTGAGACAGATAGATGTGAAGATTTTCTGTTCCCAGGGAATTTTTGCATATTTGTTTTCAAAGAAATGTTATTTAAAATTGGAATTTTGTACTGATTCCTACAGATTTTTCATTCTCTTTCTAAAAATTGGATTGACTAAATGCTTTTCCATCTTGTAATTTTATAATGTAGAGGGATATCATGGCTAAATGTTTTCCTTCTAGTTATATGAATCAGAATACAGAATAGAATACAGAATAATAGAGTTGGAAGGGACCTTGGAGGTCTTCTAGTCCAACCCCCAGCTAAAGCAGGAAACCCTATACCATTCCAGACAAGTGGCTGTCCAGTCTCTTCTTAAAATCTTCCAATGATGAAGCACCCACAGCTTCTGAAGGCAAGCTGTTCCATTATCAGGGATAATCAAATCCTTATCCCTGATTTCTTCATGACCTAACTCATCTTCATCAATTCTAAAAGCCTTATATTTTATGTTATGTAGTAGCACATAACTATTCAACTATTCATAGTTGGCAATTTGAATAGTGATGACCAGCATCTGCAAAGACGATTGAAGCAGAGTTGGTAACTTTAGCAAATCATAAGTCTTAGTTACAAAAATATATAAGATAGGAAGAAAATGTAGTTTCTAACAACATATATCCTACTGGAAAGTCAAGAGGAGAGTATTTTGTGGGTGCTTATTTGTGGAACAAAGACAGAAAAGAAGAACCTGAAGTCTCATTTTTTTAAAAAATCAGGCAGAAAAAAAATATTCCCTGTGCAAGGGAATATTTTACCTATAGTCAATTTCCCCTATATGCATGAAGTATGAAATTTCTTCATGTTACCGATTAGAAGTTCTAAAACACTTCCCAAAATTAATCTCTACACAGTCATTATGTGCATTTTTTTTTAAAAAAAGAATAAAAGTTCAAAATCTCACTTTGTCTGGAATTAGACATTCTAGGAAAACTTGGGAAATAATCAGGTTGTGTAAAGTATTCATCTTCTTTGAGCCTCTTGTTATTCATAGATACACAAGGTGTTATTGTTATCTGTTATCTGTTTGTTATCTGTTATTTTTGCTGTACTCAGGGCAGCTGACAAGAAGCAATAGATTAGACACTTGCTTACTTTGGAATGTTAAACAGCTTTTGAGATGGATATTCTTCAAACAACTGTTTGTTGAAAATGTATATGATTTGAGAAGTCATCCCACCAATTAGAATATCACCTGGCTGGTGCCATTCATATGGAACCAGAAAAGGATCTGAGTGACATTTTAGAGCATTCACTGGATATATTATCATTAAAAATATCAGAAAGAACAGCATAGCAGCAGCAAAAGATTCTTCTACAAGTTATATTCTCTGCATTAACCAAGACAGGTTATTAGACTTAGCATAGTCCCTTTTCTCAGCATGTTTCTTAAGAGAAAACTATCAGACAAAATTTTACTTTGGCAGAGATAAAATTATAAACTTGAGTACTGACTGAGATTTTCAGAACTTGTATCTTGCAGTTTTCTAGTAAAATGAAAAACAAATACCAGAAGAAATAAACCTAAATAGCTTGCTTGTCTTTTCCAAACACCCCATGAAACTGGGGTTAGTTTATAACTTATTTGGGGTTTGTTCTCATCTTTAAATAAACCTCTGGAGCTTTGAGCAGGTAGACAAATTATATTGATTTGGACAATTCCAGGGAGAATTAATTATCTATTCAACCTTTTCACACTCAGTATAAATTTGTCTACTTGGTAGCATGTCCTCTTATCTTTGTCAAATAATAGGTACCAGACAATTGAAAATGTCTTTGAATAATTAAATAAAAATAATTTTTTACTTCGTTCAAAATGCAAAGAAATTTGAGGATATGGATTTGTGTCCGAGAACACCAATCAATCCACATAGTTTCCCTTTATACCTACCACTCTAGAATAGACTTTGTAAGTCATCTAGTCCATCCCTCTGCCCAATCAGGAGTCCCTACACCATTTCAGTGTCTTCTTGAAAGCCTTGCGTGATGAAACACCAACAACATATGAAGGCAGTCTGTTCCATTGGTTTATTGTTCTAACTGTCAGGAAATTTCTCCTTATTTCTAGATTGAATCTCTCCTTGATCAGTTTCCATCCATTATTCCTTGTCTGGCCTTCAGGTGCTTGAAAAATAGGTTGACCCCCCTCCTCTCTGTGACAGCCCCTCAAATATTGGAACACTGCTATCAAGTCACCCTGGTCCTTCTCTTCACTAGACTAGCCATGCCCAATTTCTGTAACTGTTCAGCCTCCAGTCCCCTAATCTTCCTTGTTACTCTTCTCTGCACTCTCTCCAGAGTCTCAACATCTTTTTTATAGTTCAGAGACCAAATTGATTGCAGTATTTTAGGTGTGGTCTTACTAAGGCTTTATAGAGTGGTATTAGTACTTAATGTGATCTTGATTGAATCCCCCTGTTAATGCAACTTAGGATTTCATTGACTTTTTTGGCTGCCGCCGCACACTTTTTTGGCTGCCACCGCTCATATTTAATTAATTGTCCACTAAGATGTCAAGACCCCTCTCACAGTTGCTGCTATTAACCTGGTTTCACCCAATCCATATGTGTACTTTTGGTTTTTCTTGCCTAAGTGTAAGACTTTACTGCCCTATTCACTCATTTAAATGGGATTAAAATAGATAAAGCAATTTCAGCTTTAAAATTTCCAAAATGTATTGGAATTAGATTAATTTCATTTGTCAAAGAACTGTGTGTGTTAACTATGACTATAGTATTTCTTGCTTCTGTTTACAGACCATTGTGGAATTCTACACTATCTGTAACAGTACAATCCACTTTGAACTCAAAGTGGTTGAAGGGACTCAATGGAATGGAATGGAATGGAATGGAATGGAATGGAATAGAATAGAATAGAATAGAATAGAATAGAATAGAATAGAATAGAATAGAATAAACTTTATTGTCACTTTAAATGTACATTAATCAGCATACATTAAAATGAGATTTTTGTTGCATACAGCTGTCATAATAATACAATATCTCATAGCTGAGATCTGACAGGGAATGGGAGCCATATATCATCTTCATACCAATGACATACTATAACATATCCCCAAATCTCAGTCCTGAATGAATTAATACAAATGTAGGACAGACTTGGTGGCTCATATATTCATATATTATTTTGGTTTTTCATATGATGTACAATGATGTGAAAAAGAAAGTATACCTTCTTTGAGTTATATGATTTTAGGCATCAGGATGTAGTAAAAATTATATGTCCCTTAGCAGTTCTTAAAAATAGATAAATACAACCTCAGATGAAGAACCACACATATTATACCCTGTCATCATTTATTTTACAAAAAGGAAGCCAATATGGAGAAGCCATTTTGAATTGAGATTCCTTAAGTGACTTTCACTGATGTAATTGATGTTATATACCAAATAGTTGGTGGAGCTACAAATAACCTATATTAAAATTGGTTTCATTTTCATTTTCATTTCATTTTCTTATTTAAAGAAAATTGGAGTTTCATATATGGAAATATTAGTCAAGATATTCATTTGCTCTAGGAAAGTTTAATAATCCTTTCTTGATAAACTAAAAGATACAGTAACCCCAGTTAATTAATGAACTCTTAATTGATTATATACATCCCATTTAAGTCAGTATCCTTGGGGAAAAAAAACTTTCAAGTGATACAATAAAAATTCTCCTTTTTTATGACCCTGTAATTACTTAATTTGGGATAGATTTGTGGTGACAGGATAGACCTGAGCATTTACTGGGCAGATGCCCTGCAGAGTTTGCAGCATATATTTGTCCTTGTGCCCTAGGAAAGAAATATCTGCCACTATCTAGAATTGAACATTTAACCTTCTGAGTGTGAGGTCACCATGCAGATCTTTCACATGATACAATAACTTCATTTTATTAGTTGTTTCTTGGTGTTTAGTTCTGGCCTCATCACAAAGATGAAACATTTTGGGAAGAAGATACATCCCAATAAACCAGCACTGGAGGACAAGATGGAGAAGATCTCCACAGCCACCATGGCTTTTCCACTGCTACTCAGATAGGTTGGAACAAAGGAGATCCATACACTGCAGAAAGCCAACATGCTAAAGGTTATGAACTTGGCTTCATTAAAAGTGTCAGGTAAATTACGGGCAAGGTATGCCACAATAAAGCTGGCTATAGCCAAGAAGCCCAAATAGCCCAGGACACAATAGAACATGAAGATGGAGCCTTCATTGCATTGCAAAATCATGATTTCTATAAGGGTCTGAATGTCTAACTCAGGGAATGGAGGAAATGTTACCAGCCACAGAATGCAAAGAGCTACTTGAAGAAAAGAACAAGAAAGGACAATGGAAAGAGCCAAACTTTTCCCCACCCATTTTCTCAATGAAGAACCTGGCTTAGTAGCCATGAAAGCTACAACCACAGTAGTAGTTTTAGCTAACACACAAGAAACAGCAACTGAGAAGATGATGCCAAACGCTGGTTGCCGGAGAAGGCAGATTACTTTTCCTGGTTCAGTAAGGAATAACAAGGAACAGAAAAAACAGAGCAGAAGGGCAATGAGTAGTGTGTAAGTGAGGTC